CCCCTTCACTGTGGTCAATGGAAAGGAGGTTCCCTGTCTGTTCCCTTTCTTCACCAAAGATTACCTGGAAAGGTGAAAAAGTTTTTCAAAATTATGTTTACATTATATGAACAGTAAGTATACATTGGTAACATTAAATATTCATCATTGTCAGTTAGAATGTTCTCAACATTTTTTTAAAGGCAGACAAGTTATATTTCAAAGACAATACTGAGGATAGAAAATGGACAAGAAGTTGATGGAGAGCAGGAAAAAAAGAGGAAAGACAAGAAAGTGAAAGAGAAGATAGAGAAAAAGAAAAAGATAGACAAGAAGGAGAGTGAAAAGGGGAAGGTGAAGAACAAGATGATTGAGGGGGGGGAAAGAAAATGAAGAACAAGAACAAAGACAAGGGCCAAGTGGAGGAGGAAGCAAAAAGAAAAAGAAGAAGAAGAAGAAGAAGAAGAAGAAGAAGAAGAAGAAGAAGAAGAAGAAGAAGAAGAAGAAGAAGAAGAAGAAGAAGAAGAAGAAGAAGAAGAAGAAGAAGAAGAAGAAGAAGAAAGAAAGAAAGAAGTGGGAGTGAGAAGTAATGTTATTTGAGAGATAGGAGAATAAAAATACACTTAGGAGATGAAAGGCCACTGACCTTGACCCGATCACCCTGGTCAGGATCCACAGGTTCCAGGTGCTCCCCGAGAATATTGACAACTCGCTCCTCCTCTGGCAGGAACACTGAACACATCCCACCCTGTAAAAAGAAAATATCAACATGATTTTCTGCACACAGAACAACTGCTCAATGATATCTCAAACACAAACAAATTCCAGTTTCATATAACTTCAAATTTGAACAAGGGGTAGGACCTGTGGTACTTACAGAGACTCCGCGGATAACACCTGTCTGGCCAATCAGACCAGAGTCATCGTGGGTCACCTTGATCTTCACCACAATGTCCGTTGTCTGCCAGTCATGCATGCTGAGAGAATCTAGGCCTGTGGACACAAGAAAAGTATGATAGTTCCTTCCAGTGAGATTTCAGAAGATAGACTCCTGAATGATAGTAATAATAATCATTACTATTATTTTCATTACAATAATTATTGTTATGATAATTGTAAATGTAAATTATAATATTCATAATCATAATAATTAAAATAATTATAATCATAACAGAAATACATAAACAAAAAAGTTGATAACAAAGATTCAGATTCAGATTTGTAAACAATATTACTTAATAATGCTGAAGAAAATATTCAAAATAACACAGGTAAAAATTTAAACACAGCCTCCCATACCTGCTCCTGGTGTCTGAGGATTGTAGGGGGAAGGAGCTCCAGGCGTCATGGGGCTGTACGAGGCCAGAGGAGAGGGAGAAGCATAACCTGACCCAGGTGAAGGGGAGCCCTGGAATCCTGCACCTGGACTTGGGGTTCCAACATATCCAGCAGGACTTCCACCAGCTGTAAAAACACACAAAAAACATGAGCAAAACTGCTGAAATGTATCCTTTTATAAGAACAGCATATCATCAACTTGTGAACTCCAAAGTAAATGAACCATATTCATTACAATAAATGCAAAAGGGGTATGAATGAGATAAAGTATCATCATAATACAATATATCTTTTGTATTGTGAAGATATTCATTCTCATTCATATCTTTTCTTTTTGTAAACTATTAAAAAACTACTCACGCTGGTATCCTGAGGGCGAGGGCTCAGCTTGGTATGGGCTGTAGTTGTGGTCTGAGCTATACACTGTGCCAGGGGTCTGAGGGGTGTATGGACCCTGGCCTGCATCAGACTGGTAGCCTGGAGTACCTGTGTATTTTGATGGAAAAATTAGGTGGTATCCCAAAGCTATAATTACAGTCTGTATATCTAAATTCTCCTAAGATGATCTAAGTGGAATTTATTATAAAAACACCAGATAAGAATAGGTTTTGAGACAACTCCTAAAGAGTATCTCTTTTAGCAGCTCCCTTATTACTAACCAGGATTGTAAGCCGGGGAAGGTGAGGCATCATCATAGGAGTACTCATCGAATTCTGAAGTCCTTGCAGGAGTGTTGGTGATGTTTGGATCCCATGCCGATTGTCTGGAGATTGATATACAAGATGCATTACATAAGTTGAAGTAGAGTACTTGAATTCATTATAACCTCAAAGCAGGAAAATGTAAAATTAATGACCTTTTCATAAACAAGACACATTATGGTATAAACCAAGGGCATGGTAACCATCTCTTGACTTACCTCCCAGGAGTTGCTGAACCATCGTGTGATGGAGTCATGCTGCCATAATGAGGTGTGCGAGACCCTTCGTACTGCGGAGTCTGTGAGCCATACATCGGGGTGCGTGAACCAGTATTGCCATACATAGGAGTAGCTGAGCCGCCCCAGGTAGGAGTGCGGGCATAGGAGGTGACTGATCCAGACCTGGCAGTGGCCCCCACAGCTGCCACACGGGATCTGTCCACAATAATGGTCTGGCACTTGGAGTGGAGCTCCACACGCACAGTTGTGTCAGTGGCATCCTTGACAATACCAACATGACCTGAAAAATGTGATAAGAGGATCAGCCTTTTTGCCCCTATACTGTGTCAAACTTGCTGGTAATACTGCTATTTCTGCTTCACAATTAAAATAAACACCCCAAAAAGAGGAAACTCTACCTTTGTATGGTCCTTGTGTGATCTTAATAGTCTGTCCAATGATACCGCGATCACGTCCCATGCCTCTCCCTCGTCCACGTCCACGGTTCCTATCCCCAAAGCCACGGTCTGCACCCCCTCGCTCAGGCGCTCCACCGCCAGCAGGGTGCGCAGGGGAGCTGAGGCGAGGGGACATGAATCCCGTGCCCATGCCCATTCCACCCACTCCCAGGCCTCCACCTGAGGACTATGGAAAGAGTATGGGGGATAAATGCATGTCTCTATAAATAACAAGGATATTACTGCACTTCAAAGAAGTGCTAAATGTAGTACTGGTGCTAAAAATTTCACATATGTATAACTATTCTATTGCAACAGAATCTACATTATGACTCACCTTTGCACCACCAGCCTGAACCAAGTGCCTTGTCTTGCACACAAAAATTCCACCATTCTCAATCATCATCTTTGAGTGGAGGAAGGCAAAGTTGCGATATAAATGACGGATCTCACCTTGACGACCCTGAAATTCAGAAACAGGAACTTGTTAGTGAACTGATACACATAAAATAAAGTTCATTTTTAAAATAACTTGACTTTAATCTAGTCCTTACATTCACAACTCTCAAAACCTAAAAGCATCTTCTGTATGCATCAATACCACATTAAATCCACATCCATCCAGCCACAGCCAGATGCATCTTGCTGTTTTACATAAAAGAGCTGATATTCGTGTGATAATTTTTATATTTCATGGCAATGCTAATAAAGAGATAGTTGTTACAAAAAGAAAAAAAAAATAAACACACATATCATGCAGATGCAATGATGAAGCTTAGACTTCAGATTAAGATTTATCAATAATTACTATGTCTCAATTTCATTTAAATTTTGCAAATCTATTACTTGTATTACAATTTTTTTATAAATTCTTACATGATATAACACCAATTAATGCCAAAATTATGGCTCTAGCATCACATTAATAGAACTTGCTATAACATTGGTAACCCTGATATATGGTAGCATCATATCATGAAAATAATTATATCTATGCCAGTACAAATAAAAATACAATAAAATAACCTTTAAAATATATAAATAATTTAACTGAAAGTGACAAACAAACAAAATATTTGTAACATTATTGATATTTGAGTTTTTCTCTGCCAGTTCTCCCTTGTGTAATTGAGGGCACAGTAGGGTAGATTTTTTAGGATGTAGCTTGCATAGATAACAAATTTCCACAGGGGTTTACAGATCACTATCGTTTAAAGGCTCAGAAGGTTTGTATTTAGAATTTGAAACCTAATAGTGAAGTTATCAAAAGCTTTCTTTCATATTCCATTAAAATAGTGTGCAAGATGGGAATGTTTTCCAAACCTGGAAATAATATTGCCCTTTCTGTGCCTGAAATCTGGGATTTTCTTTTCACTATTGCAGGTTATATCTGCAGTTTGAATATACCCCAATTTATTAGAATACATATTAATGAATTCTCACAAATATATTTGACATAAATTTATCAAAATTTGTTTCGTTGTACTAAGAATAAAAAAGTTAATGGAAACTCAACTCTATGTTTTCTATACAGATGCTAACATTATTATTACGTATCAATACATGATTGGTGGGATTAACCAACTTGTTCTGTGTGTGGAGGATTAAAATTTGAACTTGAAAATTGAGGAAGGTCCAGAGGTGTATCAAAAGTTGATCTTGGCCACTGCCATTGAACATACACACTATAGAACCTTATTAAACTCTAATAAGGGATTAACTTTAATGGTACATACAGAAGACACTATAAGAGATACCTGAAGACTAAATGGTAGCTGAGAGAATGCAAATAACATTTACTGTGAAAACTAATAAAGCACATGATGAAGCTTGTCCTTTTCTTCATCTGAGGAATCTTACACATGGGTTGAATACATATGTGAATTGATTTAATGTAAAGTTCCTACAGCATTAGCATCTGCTTCAATATACTTCATTCCAAATTCAGGTTATAAATAGGATAGGCAGTCTTGAATGAAGACATGAGAGAGAGAGCGAGAAATAAGGATAAATCATTACTAGAGGTAGAGTAATAATTAACATATAAAAACCAAACAAACTCCATAAAAATGGAGGATAAACTTACCGAATGTGGACCATCAATAACCTTAACGACATCTTTGACCTGAATGGTGTTCTGCTCTGAATCAAGGGCCATGGCTCTGCGGTTCTCTTTTTTCTTATGCACAGCCTGGGGCTTGACATGAACCAACTTGCCATGCATGTTGAGAACCTGGAAGTTCTCCTTCTCCAGCCGCACGATGACAGCAACAGTTTGAGCACTGTGAGGTGGGAGAAGAATTGAAATAAGCACAAGTACTGTATGATCCTAAATGTCAAGAAAAAAAACAAATGGAAAGATACTGGAAATTGCAAAATTCAACACCTGGACTAAAGAAAAATTAACAAAAAGAAAGAAATAACAAAGGATGGATGAATGAAGAAAAACAGCACACACTTACTCTAGCGACACCAGGTCTCCCCATTGGTATTGTCCAAGGGAGTCCACACCTGTTGCTACGTCCGCACACAACTGGAGATCTCGAGGCAAGACCTACCAAGCAAAAGCAAGCATTAAAGTAAGATTTAACCACATGTTTTTAAACTGTAATGCAGCAAATCCATTTTGCTAGAAATGATAGCAAATTGGGCACAATCTAACGCGAAGACTTTCCTCACCTTGAGCTCGTGCATAGTCAAGTCAGAGAAGAGGACAATCATGTTTTCCTCTACACGGACAATAAGCCCAGTGTCTCCCTCGTAGCGGCCGGCAATCACCTTCACGTGATCTCCCTGGCTGAAATACTTTTTCAACTCGTGAGCCATGAACTCAAGCTCATCCTTAAGGTCTTCGTGCCTGGGTAAGATAGTGATCTTGTTGCCTGAAAGACAAAGCAATATAATTAATTCTAATGCAAATGAAATCTAAAAATTAGTATCAAAACACTAATAAACTAGGCTCTAAATGTGAAAGTATTAACCCAATGCCTTTGGGTTTATGTACTGTCCCCTGTACATTTTTGTGAATTTTGCTATATACAGATGTCTCCAAATGTGCTCTGCCAACAAGGATCAATAGGCCCTAGTTACTGATTTCCCTATTCCTTGAACTTGTGGGAAAGTGTGTTCTTCTTTCTACTACTATTAACCCCTTCATGACGGGTGACGCCACTAGGCGTGAAAACAAACCGCTCGAAAAGTGGCGTGCAGCTGTATGCCACGGCAGCGCGCCAGACCGCGGCTAGCCAGTGATTCAGCCTGATGTACCGAACTCACATGCTCAAAGTCGGCGCGCTACCATGGTTCACCAGAGCGTAGAGGGTTTTTTTTTTTTTTTTTTTTTTTCTCTCTCTCTCTCTCTCTCTTCACCCGTCACCATTGGGTTAATAATTGATATTATCATTATTAAATTGTTAATAAAATGTTAACTACATTTAAGACAATAAAATAATAGATATGAAGCTTCCAAGATATCAAGGAAAATGGTAAACAGGAGAGATAGGTAAGACTAATAACTGACTCCTTGGTGACTAAGCATTTGTAGACCCATCTATGTGTAAAGACAGTAGATGAATTTTTATTACAGTGGGTATTGTAGTTTTGCCACCCACGCCATCTGGGTTAAAAAAAATAATAATAATAAATAAATAAATAAAATCTCAACAAAACGTAAAGTGTGTACACTTACCATCAACACGTGTGACGCGGCCCATCAAGTTCATCAATTCACCCTCGCACACCTCAACATTATCCCCGGGTGCGAAGCTGTGCCCTTCATCCTCACGATTAGAGGTAGTGAGCTGGAGAAATAGATAAGTTTGATTTAGTTTCGAGATTCTCTCTCCAATCAAGAAAAAAAATTTATGTAAAATTCTTAGAACAAAGTGTATATCATTTTGTCTGTATAAGGAGGAGAATGATTTTGACCATAATTTGATAATAAGCTAATCTGTAAACAGTATCAGATTTTTTTCATAGTGAGACCAACCGTTTTACAAATTGGTAGAGCAGGAGAAAAAATAAATTCAATATAATGAACTGAAACATCCCCTTCAGCTAATCTACAAGTACAAGACACACACCCAAGACCCTACACATCCCATAAATGCAACCCCCAGCTCCCTTGCAAATCCATACCTCCATATCTGCCAGACTCTGCTCCTCAAACTTCTCCAGTTCACTAAGTGTTGGCTTGACACCATCCGCCATGATAGCTGACATGGCAAAGGTCTTGTACAGGTATCCCTTGCGCGTGAAACGGTTGCCCTCAAAGATGAGGAAGTCACCATCTTGCGTAACTTCCCCACCAATGGCCCTGATGGCATCGATGTCAAAGAGCTTCTGTGCCGGGCGGCGGAATTTCTTTCGCTTGAGGTCATTGTCGGACTGGCTAGATCTGTCGGGGGGAATCGTATGATTATAACTGTCTCAAATCTATATGGTTTCACATACTGGTGTGAAAATTACTGAAAAATACTACAGATCATACAAAAACATGAATGCATTAAAAAGAGATTGATGAACAAGTAGAAATAAAAATTATTATAATTCATGATATGTTTATAAAAACTGAATCTGTGGAGAATTCAACATTATGCAAAAGCAGTGAACCCACATATGCTGGGAGTGCACATATACATACACTGTTTACTACAGATATTTCATTATTTGTTTATATATAGATGGCTCAAGAACCACTTAAGTACCAAGGAGTCAATTACTAATTCTATCTGACCTATCCTATTTATATAATCAACATTATACCAATAATAATCGTAACTGTAATGACAATAAAATTATTATAATGGCAATAATAGCAATAGGAGTAAAAGCTTTCTTACAAGAACTCAAAAAACAGAGTGAACAGGAGAGACCAGGTAGGCCTAGTAACATTCCTTGGTGACTTAATGTTCATGAACCCATTCATGTGTAAACAAAAGTAACAAAACAAAACCACTGTAATCAGGGCAAATATCTAGCATCATTGGGTTCACATTTACTTTAAAACTTATATTACCAAAGCTTTCTATAATGGAATTTATTACACATAAAGCAACACCTCTGTGTAAGGCCAAGGAGGAGACAGGGGCCAAATACATCTATAAAGAAAAAAGCTGAAGAAAAAATAGAAAAAAGGTACAAAGCATGAAAAATTTTGAAAAATAAAGATATATCTCTGCAATGGTTCACCTTAATGCTCCTCTCATGCGGGTGTAGTCAATACGTGGGATAAGCTTCAGGTGAACATTGTTCTGTGAAGCATCAACGTAGTCTACCTGCGCCAAATCATCCTTGAAGATACCTGGAAATGGGCAGATCATAAATTTAAAAAGTGCAGGTTCTCCCTTATGAATGGTCTCATAATCTTCTTGAAATTAAGTGAAGAAGGAGTAATTCAATTCTTAACAAAATTGATACTTCCTTTTTTCAACTTTGAAACCTAACATCCCTTATTCACTAGCCACTGTCTTATATACTCCATAGCCTTTTACCCTATTTGTCTAAGACTTGGTCAAAGACTATCCCTAACAATTTCAACAATGACTTGCACAGGTACCACATTTCAATATTAATGCTATTAACTGGAAATAAATATATACTGGGCATCCAAGGCATTTTTGCAAGGATTTACCAACCGAACTGTGGATTCAAAGACACATTTCAGAATCTATGACCTTTCATGAATACAAGTGTTTACCTATTAGCTGACTGAAATAAAAACAATCCCCCCCAGTAAGGTAATAAAAACAACTCACCTCTCTTGAGTCTGACCCAGGCTCCACGCTTCAAAGTGGGCACTTCCTTCACCACACGCAGCACATCTGTCATCTGACTGATGGGCACCATCTACAAGATTTTGCAAGAGGCAATCATTAGAACTCCCTCTTTTTTCTTTCAATACTAAAGTTCACATACCAATTCACCAAAATAAAATTTCCTATTTAATGTTCTAGTTCTTATTCAAATATCCTTTGTTTTTATAATCTAACATTAGTCTTCAAAGTTACATCTATCACACTCAAAACTGATTAATCTCTTACGGTCTGCTGCCATGTCCCCAGCCTGAGGTTTGACACGCCTTCCATTGCTGCCTTGACATGGGTTTGCTTGTAGGCCTCAAAGTAGAGGTACCCCTTCACACCCTCTGGAGCCACCACGGATTTGATCTGCAGCGGCTCCTCCGTGAACTGGTAAGCAATCATTTTGCGCATCAGTTGCAAGCAGGTGATCTTCTCCTCACCAATGCGACACTTGACCATCCAAAGGTTGGGATCCCTGTAATGGAAAAGAAACATCAAGGGAATGTTTATTTCAGTTGATATATCCCAAATCATACCAATATCAAATTCCTGGGTTTGATGGGAATATGCCAAATGTGAATATATCAACACCTGAGAGATTTTATTCAAACACCACCTCCTATACCTATCAAAATTTCAAACCTGAATCAACAAACACCAGGCTACTCACTTCACACCGGGCAAGAGTGTCTGCTGCGTGATCTCATCGCTCATCTCTTCGCCTCCCTCACCAAAGCGCATGGCAGCTGACGATTCCTCGGCATACTTGCGACGGTAGTATTCTTCAATCTCCTCCTCTCGTTCATTGCTGTTGAAATGGAAGTGTTTAGTTGGTTGGTCATTTGCCATAAATTTTTTTTTATCTCTCATTTGCTCTTCTGAATGTTAAATCTATGAATATATATATATATCATCAGTCATAATTCTCCTAAAAAAAACAAAAAACAAATATATGAGCGTTCTCAGCAATAATGATGTTTAAATGACCTAAATTATACAAGAAATCTATGAGAACTTTCAAAACTGGATTTACTATTCAAAAATACATATGCAAATACTCACTCCCAGACACTGTGAGCACGGCGGTTTGCTTCAATCTCCCTGGCTGTAACACCCACTTCTTCCTTCTCGTTCCCCAGTAGATCATAGTAGTCTCCCTGGTTATAAAACAAATAAATAAATAAATAAAATATCTCTGGTAAAGAAATACTGGAGGATTCTCTTTTTTTATGCATTGGACATAGTCTCAGGAAGTAACAACCACAACAAGGATATCCCAAAATGAAGAGTTCCTACCCCTCCCCCTAAAATAACAAGCCGAGGCACATCCCGAGCCAAGTAACAGCATCCTGACGAGACAAGAGAGAGAAACCCACCTCATCCTCATCATCATCCTCTCCTTCATCGTCGTCCACCTCAGCCTCTTCCAGGAAATAGTCGGACACCATTCCTCTCTTCTTCTTCTTCTTAGGCTGGCGGTCATCCTCCTCATCCTCCTCACTGTC